CTATGGGTCGTAAGGTCCCCGGAATAAACTTGAATTGAATTGAAACAACTTACGTGCCATAACCCGAAAAATCGAATCTTTCCTTTGTGTTTCCTCTAAGATTATATTGGAGAACCCGCAGCTGTGATCTGCTATACCATTGCAGCAAGCGGGTACTCTACCTTTTCTTTTTAGCCTCCTTCATATTGTTTCCTTTCTGAGGTATCATCCTAGGCTCCTCGGGTAAGTTGCTATAATAATGTGTCAACGTGGTTTGTTAGGGGAACGTGTCAACTTGTCTCAAGGTTATGATATTTCATTGACTGACATTATAAAGTGCCCCTTGAGTGGCCCCATAGTCCGTAGACACCAACTTCATGTGGCCTTTTCTGTTGTGAGAACAGAAAACTATGAATAAACATTCAAACGATGGCCAAAACTAGATAGACATGTGTTAAACATTACATACTGTATTATTATTATACCTCATCTTTATAACAGCGTGTCTGGTGGGATGATATGGATCACATGACGGGGTAATAAAACATGATGTCCCCCTAACGCCCTCAGGTTTCCCCGATTTTATCAATTTCGTGTGTGCCTCTCTAGAAAAATAGACAAGAGCCAATAAAACCTAGTTCCGAATGATGGAAGCAGACCATAGCAATAGCACGTCTACATGATCTACTGTGGTGGCATGTTTTTTTTGGCATAATAAAATAATAATTGCCCTTGCAGTAGGGAATCACGTTCCCTTCGACCTAGTGAAACATGGACAATCTCGGAGAAACAAAGAATCGTTTTTTATTTTGCATTATTCCGGATTTTATCCGAATCCCATTTTAGTATGTACCAGCCACCGTAAATACTACATGCAATGAAATAGTTCGATAATGACGTCGCATGTGTGTTGTCTCCTGTCAGGCTTATTAAGTTTGTATAACAACATACACAACAGCAAATGCAATAAATGTATTGTATTGTTTTTTCAGTAGACCAAGAATATTCGAAATCTTTTATCTATATATTTCCCAAATGGATGACGCATCATGCTTCAGTTATGTTTGCAATATTCGATTAATTTCTATTATTTCATAAATGTTGTCGGTGTGCGCTCGATTAAGTTTTGTTCAATTTATATCAATAAGTCGGCCAGGTGGAAGATGGGACGGGAACTGAATGCACACGCTTAAACGCGGAATTGCGTCTTTCGTTTCTCGATCTACTGCTTACCGTCTATATATAGGTACATTTTGTAGGTTGCGCTCATCGACATTCTCCTTTTTGTATTCGGTCATCTACCCGGGAAATAGCAGGTACGTAATGTTTATTTCCCGTCTGAACTGGAGTAGTTCTTGGAACCCATTTCATTGTATCATGTAATATGATTTATTTATGATATGGTAATTTTGAAAATTTGGTTGGAAAATATTTTTAATTTCAATCTACGTAGAAATACGCTAATAGAATACGGCTTGATGTAATTGGAAAATTTGCCGGATTAATTTAAATTGTGAAGAAGTCTCATACTTAACCTTTCTTATATGAAAGTAACAAAGCAATTCATTGTGTGTCGAAAAAAGAGTAAGTTGAAGAACAAAGAGAGGTGTTTGCTATTGGAGACAGCAGATCGAGTTTGGTTACTTCCATGTTCAATAATGATAAATCATAAAAGGGACCCCCGACTTTGAAGAGTATATTTAAATATGAACATTCGACAATGGACTAGGACCACGTTATAACAACTTATCGACACCTTTTCCACACCACAGATACTTTAAAACAGGCATACTTATAACAAATACTGCGTTTATAGGCTTCTCTGGTGAGCCGTTGTCTAACATGTGATACATAATACTGTGAAAGAAGTTATTAACATACTACTACTCAATGTTGTGACATTGTCGTGAGATTGGACTTGAACGAGACCCTTTAGCGACCTTTGAACCTACTGCGACAGCATAGAGTTGGGAACAATAAAAAACGATGGTTAAAAGAGGGCAGCCATTTTAAAATCATTAATGTTCAATTATTCTAATATTATTTTTACCATCGAACGAGGCAATTTTACCGATTGACAGCCGGAGCTGTCATTTCGGCGCTAACAGCCAGCATTCAGCAATTATAACACTGCCCAACCACGTACTCATTTACAGCTGAGTAGACTGGAACAAACGGAGTAAATTGTCTTGATCAAGGACACAACACATTGCCGTGCCGTGGCGCGAACCCGCAACCATTCGGTCACGCGCCCGGCGAACTACCGTGCCTCCCGAATTGAGTTGGTCCTGAAGCAAATTTAATGAACTGCGAAGCAGTTCATGTTAAATTTGTTTCAAGACCAACTCAATTCATCACCCAATGAAATCGACCAAAGCAAGATTGAATCCTTATGTTTCAATCAACACGTTTTTTTTCAATAATTGGAACTTGTGAAATCATTCTGATCGTTTGTCCCAGGTTCTGGAGCTTGTGCAAGTCTATGTATTGATGTAATGTAAAATATATAGTCCGCATTGAAAGACCATCATACAACGTGATGGTGTACATTGATAGCCAAAGTATGTAGTTACAAAACACAAAACCATATGTTAGATGCCATATTCAAATTTTGCTGATGAATTCATAAGATATCAAATTTTATGATGCGTCATCGCGGAAGAATAATGTCTAGACGCGGTGCACAGGCTCAGCTGCGAGTCTACGGCAGCCATCTTTTTATTAGCTCTAAGTGGAAAGCCGCTAAATTTCTAGGTTCTGTATCTTCTTGAATGTGAAGCTGCAGTTATTGAATGTCGAATTAAACAGGAAACCAGACGTGGCTTGAAAGGACGAAACATTTAATATGACATTTGGCTGTTCGACTGTGTTTCATATACGACGGGACCACATGAATCTACCAAAGGAGTTCGTTACAAATGTCTGAAATGCACATATGCTATACTGTTATGTGTCACAGTACACATAAACATACATTTATACACATATGATATATTGATATGGGTCACAGCACACATAAACATACATCTGTTTATGTATGCTGTGACCCATAGCAGTTATAGCATGATATGTTTATTTCAGACGTTTGTAACGAACCCCTGTGAATATACGTTATCGGTTTGTACCGAGGGTTGTCTACTTACACAAGGCAGAATGGATAGCTGGAAGGAGAATTTTTAGGGCAGTATAAGACTTGTCACTAACGCTAGCAACCGTGAGCTGATAATATGATTGGTCGTTCTTGGTTGTTTGAACAATTTCTTGTGTTGCTTCAATAAAAATGTGAAATCTCAAGTGGTATATTTGTTTAAACATGTCAATAGTTATCTCCCGTCGCAAAATCATACGCACAGGCAATGTTAATCTGGTCAAATGCAACAGGTTACATTTGGTAGTTGCATTAAGTCCAGCTTGAGTAGGAATTGAAATATATGTTTATGTTGTAGAAAGCAAGTCCCATTATATCGTATTATATTCATGAATATATTAATGTTAAAAGTTTGTTTCGGAAAATATTTTGTGATTAAGCAAACTTTAATAATGTACTTTGATCACGCTAGTTGAATAGACTTTACAAAACTATACCATTTACCAGATGATTAAGATTGTTTTTGAAGTATCCTACTAAACCTTTCACAAACAGACAGAGGTTCTTTTATGTCAGATTTTCAATTATAATGTACATTTGTAATTCCAGGACCGCGATTTGCCAATAAGAGCAAATGTGATCTGAAAAAAAATGTTTTGAAAATCTGTAAAATAAATGCTTCCGAAGATGAAACCATAATTCAAAGCCGAAAAGATGAAGACCAAAATAGACGGAAGGGAAGTCATCTCATACTTGCTGCAGAATACAAGTGTGTTTTATAAACCTTATTCAATCGATTTGCATGAAGGGATACATTTTTTGTGCCATTGATTTTCACTATAGTTACGTAGTGAGGGCTCTTTTATAGCTATTTTACTGACTCCATAGTAGGCCTTGTTATATAAAATATCCAAAAACAAATTATAAGTAAATCTTTGTTCGATTTGTCAGTTCGACAGATCCATTACAAAGCCATTATCTGACAGTACTTTTGGAGATCATTACTGAATGACATCAGGTACTCAGAATTATTTTACGAAACATTAGGTATTTAAACCGTATGTTGCTGTTTAATAAAACATGTTTTAAAGAGTTTTACTATTATTTGTTATACAATAAACTAGCTTCGCAGTCTGGGAATCATCCTGTCTCGTCATTTATATTGGTGTGTACACGCTTGATTTCGTTAGTAAGTCAGTTTTCAAACAAATACTTCACCGGTGTATCTGCTACTGCACGGCTCACCATTTCATCGTGTATTCAAACGTAAGGTATAAAAATGATTCATTTATATCCCATACCACATAAATGTGTACCATTAATCATTTCTTTTTTATACTATATATATTTGAACCGTGAGACAATAATTATAATTGCTTAGTGTATGTACCAAGTACATGTGATGGTGGTACAATGTCGAGGTATAAATGTTCTTTTTTGTTCAGCATGAACGTGTAAATTGGAACAAAACAACAGTAAAAATGTTCCTTTTCGTTCCACATGCATGAACGTGTATATAAGTACAAAACACTTTATCTAAAACAAATCAACAGTATATAATTGCGTAAAATGTACTATGGTACAATATTGGAACTAAAATGGGCTTTATTCCACATAAATGTCCTACGCACAAAATCAATGCATAAATGTCTCATTTTTGTATAATATATCAAGAAATGTGATGTAGTTTAAAACAAACATTTATTTGGCAAGGTTTGATTCGTTGTACGGGCTAGGGATAATGCTGGTCTTCTGCTGTAATCTTTGAAATTCTTATCGCTACTTTCATGTCATTAGAGCAGTAGGCCGTGTTTATATGACGCTATTATATAAGATATCGTCCAAATCGACCAATGTCGGTGACGGAGGTTCGATTCCCACGGCGATAAGACAACAAGACGTTGAATGTCAAACAATCATTTTGTACCGACAGTGCACTAGTGATCCTGACTGTTCTCAGACACGTGCAAAAAAATGTGAACCTAGTGACTCGTAAACATACACCAGGACAAGTTAACATGGTTTAGCTTACTCCTGTGTCGCGTTTGGTTATTTACAGCTTGGATAACACACTTATACCAAGGTAACACTTGTATTTATTTATTTTGTGCAGGTACTGCCGATTGCCAATTTGTCTATATCAATATCGCAATATTTTCAGCTTTCCTCGATCCATACTGTCCGGATAAGACTCCGTGAAGGCTTGTCCTTATATGACAAGACATGTTAAGGACTATTAGGCCTCAAAATGTTTGCTCTGGTGGGGAAATCGAAGCGTCCTCGGGGGGG